TCACGACCTTGATAACATATGTCAAGGTCAAGGTTATCGGGGCTAGCTCCCCTCATCTCCATAATTACCACAACTTTTTCTCAGAAGCATTCGGTTTTACCGGGCGATTTGTCCAGATGTTGATTAACGTCGTTCAGAATGGGTTTAGAAGAACGCCCGGACGACAACTTTTTGTCGCATTCGAGACTGAGGCGAATTAGGACCATCATGCGCAGAAAAGCTAGCTCTTATCTATGCTACGCATATATAAGAGCTATATGATAAATTTGTCATAAGTGATTTGAGGTTAGTTTATTTATTATTATAAATAAGGAAAAGTCGGAACAGTACGTGCCATTATTTAAGAAGAAAAAAATGTTTGAACTTTGTAAGTGATTATATACATTTTTTATTTACATTATTTTTTCTGTATAATATATTAATGTAAAAAACGAAGCGATAATACATATATAAATTTTATTAATGAGAATTACTTAAACAACATAACAATTATATTAATTTACGGTATGTAAATTAATTTTGATAATCTGAACAATTAAATAAACGTTATATTACCCAAAGACACCCTTGCTCGGATGAAAAATTTTCATTCGGAACGCACTCCTGGTGTAGGCACGAATCCTGGATGTATGCCGACCCTGTAGCGCTCACGCTGGAGCTATCTCGGTTCCAGCGTAGAGTGATGTGTTGTAGTCGCTGAGTGATGATTTGGTCGCTGAGGAGTCACAGTTGTTCCAAATTTTTTCCTATGTAGGGGCGTTTGATTTTCCATGCTATGTAAGGTCCATCCTTCCCTGACTCCTCCCTGTCTGAAAAAGTTCAGAAATTTGTATCTTATGTTCAAAAATTACGTGGTATTTACCAGGTATGTAAATATGAAACCGGAATTTACCAATAGATGGCCATAGCTGTCAATGCAGTTGCCGTCAGACCGTGTCATTAACGCCATTTTCTTGTTCTGACATCTGACAAAGATTTTCAACTCACAACAATACAAGTTTCATACAACAGTATAGTTTGTAATAGCGTTGAACATGTCGAATTTTGTGCCTGGAAACTACGATTTGCGGACAGCATTGATTTTCTGTTACCATTTGAAGAAAACTGCTGCAGAATCGCATCGAATGCTTGTCGAAGCTTACGGTGAGCATGCTCTTGGTAAATCACAGTGCTTTGAGTGGTTTAAAAAATTCAAAAGTGGCGATTTTGACGTGAGAAATGAAGAACGTGGAAAACCACCGAAAAAGTTTGAAGACAGCGAATTGCAAGCATTGTTGGATGAGGATGACGCTCAAACACAACAACTCGTGGATCAATTGAATGTGATACGAGAAGCCGTCTCCATACGTTTGAAATCCATGGGAAAGATCTAGAAGATGGGAAAATGGGTTCCACGTGAACTGAATGAAAGACAGCAGGAAAACCGAAAAACTACTTGCGAAATGCTGCTCGCCAGGTAGAAAAGAAAGTCATTTCTCCATCGAATTGTGACTGGCGATGAAAAGTGGATATATTTTGAGAATCCTAAGCGTAAAAGATCATGGGTAACTCCAGGCGAACCATCGACATCGATTGCAAGGCCAAATCGTTATGGACGGAAGACAATGCTCTGTGTTTGATGGGATCAGAAAGGTGTGATCTATTATGAGCTGCTAAAACCTGGCGAAACCGTTAATACTGCACACTACCGACAACTAATGATCAATTTGAATCAAGCTTTGCGTTAAAAACGACCGGAATATCAAAAAAGGCAACACAAAGTGATTTTGCTTCATGATAATGCACCATCACACACAGCAAAACCGGTCAAGGAAACGATTGAGGCATTTGGTTGGGAAATACTTTCGCATGCGGCTTACTCACTAGACTTGGCTCCGTCCGATTACTACTTATTTGCATCGATAGGACACGCACTTGCTCAGCAGCGCTTCACTTCTTACGAAGATGTACGAAAATGGCTAGATGACTGGTTTGGCTCAAAAGAGCAACAATTTTTTTGGTGTGGCATCCACAAATTGTCAGACAGGTGGGAAAAATGTATAGCTAGCGATGGGCATACTTCGAATAAAATATTTTTTATCATTTTCATGCGATAAACGTGTATTTTCTATTAAAAAATTTCGGTTTCATATTTACATACCTTGTATTAAAATTGTTTTGTTAATAACTTATCAATGAAGAACGAGCAACAGAAAAAGTTGATGACCTTGAGGGTGAAGGTTAATGTTAGGATTATTTGAAAGTCATTGGTGCTGGCTACGTAAATGTAAATATTTACCAAAATGAGATCTAAAAATCTTATCTTAAATATTGTAAATTACATTACTTGTTTCTCTTATAAGAATGTGATCGGAGACTATTAAAACTAATTTGTTAAATAAATACGCACAAGATTATATAAATATTTATTTATACATTATTTTATTTCACCTAATTTACTGTATTATAACCCTTAATACACACTTTTGGGTCATTCGTGTTTTGCGCATTTCTTTTAGTTGAAATGCTGAGCACCTGGTCAAATACCGATCACTTTTCTATTCCTAAAAAAAGTTTGGCGTCTATATAGAACAAGTTTTGTGTATTGTCGGCCTCAATTCGTACATATCCTTTAACTGACATAACTTCGAAGTTCACTTTTAGGTCACAAATGACCCAACGTGTATACAGAGTGTACATTTTTTGTAACTAAACAAATTTTTTTTGATTTTCAACTAATTCTCGGTTGTATTGCGGGAATATTTCGCGAATTATTAAAAAAAAGAATTTAACCCTAGAACAACATATTAGCTCTTAAAAACATGATGGTTTTTGGCACCCTTGTGTTAAATGTTGTCAGTAATATTATATATTATGTTGTCTGTAATGTTATGAAGAACATTTTCCTAATGAATTATAAGTTTTTTTTAAAACAATAGCAATATTAAAATGTATTGTTTAAAATGTAAATGCAAAATCCTCAATTTATAGCCATTCATGCATATTAAAAAAACATCATTTTCGGGTTACTCAATAATTAAATTTTTTGGACAGCCAACACTTAAACCATTTTTTTTTGTAGTTTGGAATGTCAATTTTATAATATGAACCATATTTTTCCTTTAAACATTTTTGTTTCAGAGTTTTACATTTTTCTATGAAACAGTGCATTTTTCTTATTCTGTTAATTGTATCTAGTTATAACAATTTATCTATAATTTGTTATGAATATACAACTGTACAATTACTTTCTAAAGATGTCAAAATATACGTAAAAATTGTTTAATAAATTTTATATACTTGTAAAAGTGATGAAAATTAGTCGAGAACACTAATGACCGAACGTGTGTAATAAGAGCGCCCAAAACTAAGGTGTGTATTAAGGGTTAACAGGTTGTTTTTTTTTCAAAACCTTTTTTTAACCGGAATCTTTTGAATACTATTTATCCTTAAATATTAAGTTACATTGATATTGTTTATATTGTTATAGGTTGCTATAAAGATAATAGATAAAACTAAACTAAATGAGGAAAATTTAGCAAAAATTTTTCGTGAAGTACATATAATGAAAAGATTACGACATCCACATATTATAAGACTGTACCAAGTAATGGAAACAGAAAAAATGATATATTTAGTGACAGAATATGCTCCTGGTGGTGAAATATTTGATCATCTTGTTCGAAATGGTAGAATGGCAGAACCAGAGGCACGAAGAGTTTTCCGTCAGATTGTACTTGCCGTTCATTATCTGCATCAACAAAGAGTAGTTCATCGAGATCTTAAGGTCTATTTGTTGTATTATATTGAAATTGGATGTCCTATGATTTTAATTGTTAATAAAATTTATTACAAATCATTTGCATATTGTATGAATATAATTAGCATCTCCCACTTATTTTTAGGCTGAAAATTTGTTACTTGATGCAGACAATAATATAAAAATTGCTGATTTTGGCTTTAGTAATGAATATACACCTGGTGTTCCACTTAGTACATGGTGTGGTTCACCACCATACGCTGCACCTGAAATTTTTGAAGGAAAACATTATGATGGTCCAAGAGCTGATGTCTGGGTATGTTATCACTTTTACATACATATTATTTTTTATTCTGAAATTGCTATGTATAGTTATTTAAACAATTTTATATATACAGGGTGTCCCAAAAAGGTCAGGACACCTAAATATCTCGGGAAATATAAGTTTTACAGAAAAGTGTTTCAGACAAAAGTTATATGGTATAAAAATATCTATTTACTGATTCTATCAGTTTGACCTTGGGTTGCGTAGCCAAGGTCAGGTCAAGGTTACATTGATTTTCTGAAATGGAACACTATTTTTGATTCAAGAATCTAATAGCTGATGTCGAGAGCTTTCCAAAACGCTATAATAAAATATTTTTTTATGAAATACTTTTCAAGTTATAATGCTTCAAAGTTACAGCCGGCATTAGCATTACCCAAAATATTTAATTTTGGAGACTGGCCAGTCAAGGCGAGATCGGTCGGTGGTCCGTGAATCTTGACCTTCAGTTAACGCACAAACAAAAACATAACGCGTGGTATTACATATTTTGGGTAATGCTAGTGCCGGCGATACTGTAACTTTGAAGCATTATAACTTGAAAAGTACTTCATGAAAAAATATTTCATTATAACGTTTTGGAAAGCTCTCGACATCAGCTATTAGATTCTTGAATCAAAAATGGGGTGTTTCATTTAAGAAAATCAATGTAATCTTGATCTGACCTTGGCTACGCAACCCGAGGTCAAACTGATAGGATCAGTAAATATATATTTTTAAACCATATAACTTTTGTCTGAAACACTTTTCTGTAAAACTTATATTTCCCGAGATATTTAGGTGTCCCGACCTTTTTGGGACACCCTGTATATATATATACATACACATATACAGGGTGTCCCAAAATCTGTGTACCCAAATAACTGGCATTGACTCTGATTGACTTATATATATATATATATATTCTCTTTATTCTTGTATGTTTAATAAAGTAAATATAACAATAGTACAATAATAAACGTTTTGACCCTTTGTTTTGGGTCCTTATCAATATAATAATTCCAAATTAAATATGCGTAAAATCTAGCTAAAAATGTGATACTGGTCAATCTAATAGACTCTTCAGTGTTATGAAACACGACAATTTTAACCGTTCTTTTTTATCCACTTTCCAATTTGCTATGTAATGAATAAACTTTAGAATTAGTTCTTAATTTAACATATTTTAGCTTCAACAACAAATTTTACAAACTGACTTTCGGAGTACCGATAAGTTTACCATTATCACCATTATATCAGATATTGTTATACAAGATCTAGGAACAAAAACATTACAGTCTTCCAATTTCACTATTTCTTTATGTAAGATATGTTGATGACATTGCGTTAACATACGATGCGTCGCATATTGATACATTGGTGAACACGTTTAACTCATATCATCTCAGATTAAAATTTACAATCGAAATAGACGGTAACACTTTAAATTTTCTTGATGTTTGCCTGATTAAAAAAGGAAAACTCATTCATAAATCCACCTTTTTTAGTCGCTACTTAAATTATTTTTCTAGACATCCCCTATACCAAAAAAGTGGGAACAATGATTGGATTAAGGGGGTCTCCTACATTACAGGGTCAAAAAAGTCGATTTTTTTTTATAAATCGATAGTAAAATTCTTCGAGAATATGTTCCTAAAATTTTAGAGCGAAATTCAAAGTCCTTCGGTATAAATTCAGCGCTTGTATATACTAGTGCATGACGCGCAGGTATAATAAATAATTAAACAAAAATTTGTTTTATTATAGTTCCAAAGTACTCTTAAAGTCATTCAATTTTCATTCTGGAAATTTTTTTTTATTTCTTACAGTTTCTATGATATTCGCTTCGAAAGAAAAAAAAAAACGATTTTTTCCAAAGGGGTGTTTTATTCCTAAACCTTGAGATAAGTATAAACAAAAAAATATGGGTTCAATATTTTTTTCATGTTCTACAACGTATCCAAAGTTTAAAATCGGTGAGGGTCAGTTCCTTTGTTAGTAGTACCAGAGAGGCCTGAGTAGCTTGTAGAATGGCTCAAATTGCTCAAAATGAATTCCATGAGGAGGCTGAAGGATTATTGTATGTCCCTGGAATAACAGATTAGCCTCCGAGCACTGTAAGTACTCAAGAATTAAATCGAAAACTTTAAACGCGTTTTTCTCGAAATCTGTTTTTTGCATTTTCGTCAATTTTATGTACACGATTGAAAAAAAAGTATTTGTCCGATCGACTTGTCTTCCTTTAGGACTTGTTAGTTAGCTAATAGTTAACCATACTCGATGAACCTAAAAAGTTAAGTAAAAATCAACATTAACTATTTTTGTTGCATAAACAAACGGCTGCTACCTAGTAAAAATCATAACTTTTTTTTGAAAGTCACAAATTTTAATTTATATATATCTCTTTTAATTTTTTAGGTTCGTTTAAAACGATATTCTATAAAAATTAAAAATATTTTTTGAATTTTTATTTTCGGCAAGAATTACAGCCGCTAGGATGTACACAAAATCGTAACATCGTGGCGAAGTGCCAAATTAAATGTTTATATTTTTGTTATTTATAATACTTTTTGTCACATAAAAATTTTTACGTACTCTACAATAGTTATATTAAAACGTTCAAAAAGTTTGAAATTGATAAATATTAGTTTTCCTTTTGAAAAAAAATTATGAAAGATTACCTTGTTGTCGGTCTCCTAATGTAGGAGACCCCTTTAATAGATAGAGTTCTTTCTTTGTCTCATCCTATTTTCCACTAGGCAAATTTTGACTTAATAACACTAGTTTACAGCAAAAAATTACTTTGGACCGGACTACGTGTTTTTTTTATAGATTTTTGGATGTTGAAAACAATGCTGCATGCGAAAAAATTCTAGCACGTCGGATATCAAGATAATTGAAGTTTAATACTTAAAAAATAGCCTTTTTGCGATATTTAACATTTTTTAATAAAGAAGGTTAACGTTGTCTTGAAATTTCGATCAGGAGTCATGAGTGTATTGTTCATCCCTTATAAAATGCATTTTTTTTTATTTCAATACCTTACTTTTCAACCATGAACGATTAAAGATAGGAGCTATTTTGAATATGGTGACTCCGGCAGCGTCATATGTGTATAAGGATTAATTTCTTAGGGTCACATTTTGATAACTGTATTTTAATACTTTCATGCACAGAGAGAATTCTGAGATTAATCCACTGGTGTAATAAAAATACATCGTTGCTTAAAAAAAAAGGTAATTAGTAATATGCAACTATCTTTCATAAAACAACTCTCTCTCTCTCTCTCTTCCTTCTTTCTCCCCTCCCCTTTCTCTCTTTCTCCCCCCTCTCTCTCTTACTCTTTTTCTCTCTCCCCTCCCCCTCTCTCTCTCTCTCTATATGTGTGTGTATGCGCGTTGTTTTAAAATAATTTTAGCGTTACCGCATACGCATATGACGTTGCCGCGGTCCTCATATTCGAAATAGTTCTTATTTTTAATCGTTCATAACATGGCTAAAAAGTAAGGTATTGAAATAAAAAAAAATGCATTTTATAAGGGATGAACAATACACTCATGACTCCTGATCGAAATTTCAAGATAACGTTAACATTCTTTATTAAAAAATGTTAAATATCGCAAAAAAGCCATTTTTTAAGTATTAACCTCAATTATCTTGGAAATCCGACATGCTAGAATTTTTTCGTTTGTGGCATCGTTTTCAACATCTAAAAATCTATAAGAGACACGTAGTCCGGTCCAAAGTAATTGAAAAAAAAAAAAATTTTTTGTAAATTAGTGTAATTAAAATTCTTTTAAGCAACGGATACCCATTGAAACTCATATTTACTACAATCAAAAAAAAGGTTGTTTAAAAAATTTAGACAATTGAATTATCAGGATCACATATCTAATGACAAAACAACAGACAATAGTGAAGAGAAAGTGAATCACAGATTTTTCACAATCCCTTTTATTCCCTTTTATTCAACTTTATCAGACAAAAATTAAAATATTTTTTAAAAGATTCCGTAATACACATGGCATATAAAGATATTAACATTATTAAAAAGTTCATCCAAGATCATAAAGATGTTTGTCCCAATCTATCTCGAACAGACATCGTATATAGAATTGATTGCTTAGATTGCGAAACATCATATGTGCCAAACAGGTAGATGTTTGCAGACACGCATTAATGAACATAGAAATCATATAAACTAGAACACGACGCAACATTCCGTAATATCTGAACACAGAATTAGTTTTCAATATGAATTTGATTAGGAAAACATTAAGATATTGGACGAAAAAAGGATTCTAAATAAAAGACTAATTTTGGAAATGATCCATATAAAACAACAGAAACAGAGTTTAAATTTACAAGATGATATTCTATCTTTAAACCTACTATACATATATGAATTTGTTTGCGGAATTATGATATGTTTTCTTCTCCTTTCCTTATTATTATTTTTATTTCAATAACTACATAACTTTATTATTTTGACTCTCATTACGATTCTGATTGTTAACACCACAGGACCTTCACGTTGAGTCGCGAGAAACGCTTACATGTAAGTTAAGTAAAATTAAGAATAAAAAAAAATTCAGACAATTCATTTAAATAATTCAAAAAAATTTTTTGTTTTTTTTTACAAATTACTACGTAGCAAATCAGACAATTCGATGAGCGAGATGGTTTTTTCTGTTGAATCAATTTATATGACACCGTATTAATTTATGTAAGTTTTTACACTCATTCTGTGCAATCTTAATATTCAATGTTACTTACTCGATTATTTATTATATAGCAAGTTGGAAATTGGATAAAGAAGTGCGGTTAAAATTGTCATGTTTCATTACACTGAAGAGTATTAGATTGACCATAGTCACATTTTTAGTTAAGTTTTACGCATATTTAATTTGGAATTATTATATTTTATATTTGATAAGGACCTAAAACGAAGGATCGAAACGTTTATTATTGTATTATTGTTACATTTATTTTATTAAACATACGAGAATAAA